CTGTGACAGCTGGACCCGGTTTTAAGAGGGAGCCATTAGCGCGGCGCATCCGAGCGGCTCTGTTGACATCAGTCTCCTCCGGAGTAAATAACCCCGCCGGTTAATTTAGTGCTCGCTGCGAAAAGCAGGCTGTCGGTGACTCCGCTTACACCCCGCGCCATAAACAGGGCTTACGCAACGGCGCCGTGTGACGTGAGCGAGCCTGGGGAGCCCGAAACGGCCCCGTTTGTCACCCACCTCGTGTCCCGCCACCAGGACACGGCACCCCTCGTCTTTAAGATTTGAGATGCAAAATGGGGGAAAAAACAAGACCCCACGGGGTACTCGGGTAGTTTAAGATTGTGGAAAAATCTCGGTGTGAAGATTAAACGACAAACGATCGGGGGCTTTCCGGGCATGACGTCCCTCGGGGTTGGGCTCAGCAGGACACGAACGTGCTGAGAACACACCGGGTTTGTGCTCTGGGCCTCGGGTTATTTTCCTCGGCTGGGAAAGGAGGGGGAAAGCGTGGGGAAACGCACCCTTCAGGAGGAAGCCGGAGTCAGCGATGGTCTTGTGCTGCCGTTTCCAGACGCGGTAGAGCTGCAGAAAGGCTGCCGCGTACAGGTCGTTGAGCACGGCGATGACTTGCTGCCTGCGGTTGCACTCCCTGAAACGGGCGGAGAGGGGCTCAGCCCAGGGAACTGCCGGGGTGGGACCCCGCTCAGCGGGAAACAGCGAGGGGTGTTGTTTGAACCCCCAAAAACCAGCCCCCAGCGTGGCTGCGGAGCTGTCGGCCGTGCCAGACCTCACCTGGAGAGTCGTTCCTCCCTCAGGGCCTGGAGGACGATGCGGGTGATGTTCACAGACATGATGCAGAAGGGGAAATTCTGTGAGAGAAGGAGCGTTACGGCAGCTCAGCTGCGGAAAGGCTCCTCTCCTGCGGCACAGATACCTCCGGCCCTTTCACGCCGCATCCGCGCAGCCCCAAACCCGTGGGATGGCGGCTGCAGGCAGGAGAACCACGTAGCAGGGTGATAACGAACCACGTAGCAGGGCGATAATTCTACGGATACAGGCTTAGATGAATGCTGTGGGTCATGCTGAAGTTATATCCAGGCTAAAACCCAACCAGATCTAAAACTAAACCGCCCAGTTTAAGGAGACAGGCTCCACTCACTCCCATTTTCATGCTGCGCTTCCTCCAGTCCTTTTAACCCACACAAGCTCAGCTCTACGCCAGGATCCCGGCAGCAAATCTCTGCTCTCCACCGGGCCGCTAAAAATCTCATTCCCACACCAACACCTAGAGCTTGGCTCCAGCCTCGGGTTGGGGCTCCTCAGCTCTTTGGGGAGCTCCCCTCTTCCGTCCTCTCACCAGCAAAAAAAAATAATCAAGCCCTTCCGCCGAAGGGAAGGGTTTTGTGCTTCCTGTTCCCCAAGGGTTACAAAGAAATGGGCAGACACCGCCGCAGGGAAGACGGCGGAAGGACGTGCCTGGGTTTCGTGCTGGGATAAGGTGAAAATCTCCTGAGCCAGAGGCAGCGTCTGAGCGTCCATGACGAAGAACAGCATCTGCATCAAGGCCAGCATCCCTGTCCCTCGCAGGTCGGTCCCGGGATCCGCACCTGGAAGGGCAGGACGGCCCGGTGAGCGAGGGCCAGCCCGGAGTCATGCTCTGGTCACTGCCGGTGATGCCCTGAGCAGAGGAACCCCAGGGAATCACATCCCGAGGGAAAGCTTTTGGGGGATTTCCCTAATCGGAGCCAAACGGGTGCCGGCACCTCTTTGACGTGGGTGCAAACCCACGTGCCTGCTCCCGCGCCTTCTCCAGGAATGAGCAGCTTTAAGCCCGACCTACCCAGGGCACGTTCAGCTGCTAAACTAACCCTAAAACCAGCTGCATCCTCCACAGGACGGCAGAGTGGGAGCCGTTCCCCTCCTGCCCAGGGTTCTCAGGCTTCATTAAAACCCGGCCTATTTAACTCACGAGTCACCCAGCCCGAGAACTCCTGCGAGGCCACACGTGACACCGCTAATCACGCTGTTTTTCTCACGCAGCCGAGGCTGAAAGCAACCCGCGACACAACCTTAGCGACAGAGCCCTGACCTGCGCTTCGTTAATAAACCAGTTCTCTGGAGATGGCTCATTAGCTGCAGAGATCGTTTGCTAATGACGAGCATTAACGGCCTGGGCAAAGCGGTTACACCAACTACTTCTTGTTATGCCCACGCCAGCTGGACGCCGGCAACCGTGGCAGCAGGGACCGGTGTTTTCTGGCCAACCAGTCCAGGTGTTGGTTTAATGGTGGACTCGGTGATCGTTAAGGGTCTTTTCCAACCTTAACGATTCTAAGAAACAGCGGCAGAGACTGCGGTTGCGTGAAGGGAGAGGGAACGAGCAGCAAAACCTTTGCGCCACCTCTGGATCCCAGCTCCGGAGGAGGGAACGGGACCAGCGCGATCTCTCTCGGTAAAGTCTCTCCTACCTTGAAAGCCGAGCTCTTCCCAGTGCGCCCCGTAGCGCGGGCAGCCCAACCTGGAGCGGGTCAGCTTCTTGTAAATGGTCTGCAGGATTCTCATGTGTACTCTCTCGTTATCATCCAGACCACCTGGAGGAAAAAAAAACACACCATGGTACCCAACAACCACCCCTCGGCACCCAAAACCCACCGCTCGCTCCCCCCCAAAAAGCGAGTACATCCGTGGTGCGGA